TTGTATCTCCAGTTGTGCCTTTCTTCGTAGCACTCAAACCATTCCACTTCTCTTTCTTTCCTGTCTTTCTATCACATACTTGCAAGCTGTAGTGGTTCTCACTGAGGCCTCCAGGGATCTTACACCTTGTCGAAGCTGCTTGGAGGTGGGCAGGCTTCTCCTGGTTATTTCTTACAACTATTAAACTCACATATTTGCTGAATGCAAACCTCTTGAGGCATCATTGAAGCCCACCACTTGTACATTTTCTTCTGTATACTCTTCCTTTGAAAAATGAGTTCCTACTATTCTTAATATTTTCTGGCATTTGAAGGTGACCCCAGAGCTTTTAGAGCTATGTAGGGAGAGCCCTGATTTGCTGGAGGCCTGTGGCCTTGCTTGATTGTATAGGTTTGGCTGCTGAGTCATGGAAGCTGCCCTGAAGAGCTATCTGCACTAGTACCCATAGCTCTCAGGATATGGATGTTTCTTTCTGGATTCATCTCTAGAGCATCATTTCCATCCCAACTATATAATGGCGTGAAGTGTCAGCATTTTAGTGTTCTTTAATCATCATGGTAGTTATTACATCTTTGTAGGAATCTTTGGCACTACAGCATAGAGCGATTCCCTCGTTGCTAAGGCATCCGTAGCATTAGTATCTGTCTTGCTACAGCCCTCAAAAGAGGCTTTTTCCCAATCTGCCAAATGAAGCTGTCCGTCTGCCATGCCAGTATCTGAATTAGGCCATGGTGATCTAAAATTCTTCAGCAAATTCCAGAGGGTCCTGATATGGATTAGGAAACCCAGAATCAAAAATTTCAGCCCAGGTTTTGTCCAGGTGTATGATATCTTCCTCTAGGCATCATGTTTGGCTTTTTTTTTTTTTTCATAGAAAAGTGTACTTTATGTTTTTGTTTTGAGACAGGGTTTCTCTGTGTAGCCATGGATATTCTGGAACTCACTATGTAGACCAGGCTGGCCTTGAACTAAGAGATTTGCCTGTCTCTGCCTCCTCAGTGCTGGAATTAAAGGCATGCACCACCACCACCACCTGACTTGTTATTTTTTAATGTACTTGGTAATTCTTTGCAATCCCAAGGTCATAAATATATTTCTCTGTGATTTTTTTTTCTTACAAATCTTATTGTTCTACACTATGATGCATTCATTATCTTTTGAGATGACATCTTGACATATTGCCAACGATGGCTTTGAATTCCTAGTCTTAAATGGCCTCCTGCCTCAGCCTCCTGAGTAGCCATGATTACAGGATTACGAATGTGCTTAGCTTCTCTCAAATCAATATTTATATGTGGTATGAAGGAAGGTGTCAGAAGTTTTTTTTTCTCATAGACATCTAATTATTTCAGCATTTAAATATAAAACAATAGCAACACAACAAACCTTTCCCCACTGAAAAGCACTGGATACCTTTGTTGTGAAACAAATCAGTATTTCTATTTCTGGATTCTGGACTCTGTTTTGTGGTGTAAGTCCAAGAACTCTTACCTACATTTTCCACAATTGTCCTTTGCATATCAGTTTTATCCTAAGAGAGGCTGTCTTAGTCACTCTTCTATCCCCGTGAAGAGACATCATGACCATGGCAACTCCCTCACCACTACCACACAGAAACGGTTTCTCTGTAGCCCTGGCTGTGACCATGGCAACTCTTATAAAGGAAAGCATTTAATTGGGGCTTGCTTACAGTTTCAGAGGCTTAGTCAGTTCGTTATTGTCATCATGGTGGGGAGCAAGGCAGCATGCTGGTAAGCATGATGCTGGAGAAGTAGCTGAGAGTTTCATTCTGATGTGAAAGCAGAGCCAGACTGGGCCAGGCATGGACTTTTGAAACCTCAAAGCCCACTCCACAAACACACTTCCTCCCATAAGGCCACACCTCCTAATCCCTCTCAAGTAGTGCCACTTCCTGGAGACTAATATATGAGCCTGTGGGGGCCATTCTTATTCAAACCACCATAGAGGTTATAACAATCTTTTCCTTTGATATAGAATTTTTGTTTTGTTTTTGCATAAAAAAAAAAAGAAAAAGGAAAGGAAAGGACTTGACTAATCCTAGATATGGTGGGGAAGAAAGTTTATTGTAAATATATAGGAGAGCATAGCCAGAGGCAGACACATCTTGGAGAGTTCAGAGTGGTCATGGCCCTGAACCATGTGGAGAGAGGGGAAGGGAAAAGGGAGAGGGAAGCAAAGTACAGCAGCCAGGAGGCCAAAGGTACAGAAGGATACATTTTGGGTAACCAAAGTGTCTGGATTATATAGGGAAGAACCTCTGTTGGGAGGGCAGCCCAGCCCCTGGGCTGGAGAGTTCAGGGTTAGAGGGTGGAGTATGCCAGTTAAACTGTTACAGGTAGGGACAGGGATGCTGGGAGAACCTGGAGGCTAGGTCTACACCTCAGCCACTTGTCCCAGGTTTGAAAGGGAACAGTTTTGTTTTTTTTTTTTTTTTTTTTTTTTTTTTTTTTTTGCATTTTGATACTAAGTCTTTCTGTATAGTCCCAGCTGACCTAGAAATAACAGGAATCTGTCTACCTGCCTCCAAAGCACTGGGATTAAAGGGGTGCAGCACCCCATTGGCCCTGATACAGAATTTTGTTCCCTTTGGAAGTTACCAGATAAGACAAGAAAGGGTGATGAAGAAAAAAGAGGTACGGAGCGATGGTGGCATACGCCTTTACTCCCCATCCTTCGGAGGCAGGGGCAGGTGGATCTGTGTGAATTCGAGGCCATCCTGGTCTACAGAGCGAGTTTCAGGATAGCCATGGCTACACAGAGAAGCCCTGTCTTAAAAAAGAAGAGGCAAATTCAGAAAGGACAGAGAAGACTGTGAGGTGGAGAAGAGAGGAGACTGGAGTGGAGGACAGATTCCTCGGGTTTGTCTTTAAATTCTAACACAATCTCTAAAAATTTATTATTTATTTCCTGTTCTTTAACATCAGTTAAAAAGTTTTTGCTCATTTCCAAACTTTTATTTCATAGAAATCAGCAATTTTAAGAATTTCCCCTCTGAGTTGCTTTGAAATTCTAATTAACTTGCCTATTTTTGTCTTTTACTGCTTAGGACTTCTAGTTTTGTACAGAAAATAAAAAGAATTTAGAAATATCAAGTGTCCCCCCTTTTTCAAATACTTGCAAGTTGAACTGTGTAATTATCACACGTAGAAACAGCTGGAGTACTGACTGGCAGGTTTTCTCCAAAGACTTTTTCCGACCTTGAAGCTGTTTCCATATTAGTGTATTTGTCCCTGAGAGCTGGAACCAGCTCTGCTTGCATTTGAGGTAAGTGGCACTTCCCTAAGTGTCACTTATGGAAGTGGCTCCCTCATTTCTCACTAACCAGTTCCTCCCCCCTGTATTTTGGGTTTATCTTGTGAGTTAAGGGTGCTCAGGACTTGGGGGGAATCACCTCTCACAAGGTGTGTCTTCCCAGCTGAGCCAGCAGGGTTCCTTCCACACCAGGAACAAAGTATCTTGTCTTAGGCTTCTCTGTGAGGCTGTTGCATTTCTTGGGGAGTTCCTCGTTGATACCTCTGCCCTGATGGACTAGAGAGAACAAGTGCCTCTTATCTTCACCATCTTCAGGATTAGGTCTTCATAAGATTTCAAAGTTAAAAGGGACCAGGCTACAATGAGCAAGAGATATAGACAAAAAACAAACAAAAGAAAGTAATGGTTCTGGGAGAAAAATGAATGCTAGGAAATGATCTGTTACAGATGTTCTAACAGTTGCTCTGCAACATCAAGAGGCCACCGAGTATAGTACTCAGAGATAAGCCAGTGGACCATCAGCCAAACAAAAGCGGGTCCAGACTCTAGATTCTAGGGAGGACTCTTACGCATCTCCCAGAGGAAGCGACACAGATAGTTCTGATGAGACTGGATCATCTGTGCGGGCCTCACATCGAGTGCCTATACCATTGACAGGATGTACAGTTCTTGCTTCAAGGGGAATAAGGCATAGTTCATTCTGAGCCCAGTATGAATGGCCATGCCCTAGAAGCATGGACTCAGGTTTCACCAAGTCAAGTCTCACTTAAGGAAGGAGTTATACAAACTTTTGGTCACAGAACAAAAGACAGTCAGAAACTAATGTATTTACTGAAAATGTTACTGGGGACATTGGGTTACAGCCAAGTAGTAAATCTCTGCTATAGGTTTCAGACACTATCCAATGAGTTTCTTACCTCCTGTGGAAGCTTGTGTTCTTCCAAGTCAATACATCACAAAGGTCTGACTTCAGAGTCAAAAGAATGTTAGGTATCCTACCCAGGGTACTAAAGATAGCTCAAGATAAATTTAGCTCTGGATCTGCAACATTCCAGCTCTAAAGTTCTAACTAGTCAGTCTTGTCTGCAGAATCAGATGGTTCCTGATCCAAGACTGCTCTCTGTTTTAGTTGGTAGTTATGCATGGTGGGAAAGTGATTATTTGGATGGCACTAGAGAAAGTGTCACCTGTTGTTTTAAAGAAAAAAGAAATTCCAGTCTTTCGCTTTTACCAAAGACAACTCAAGAGCCGGATGCTGGGGTGAAAGCCTACTAGCTTGGAGAGGCAGAGAAAGCACCCAGCTGACCTTCCTACACAGCTCACATTTCAGAAGGAAAACACCCCTTCTTCTCTACACTATCTGCAACACCCGCCATTCAGTGTCCCTCCTTTCTTCTTACTCAGTGTCAGCTGGTTGCTTGCTCCCACCTCTTGACCTAGGGTTAACTTTATTTAATCCTGTTTACAGAAAGCTCTTGGATAAAGGTGTGTGCTAGGGCTGAGCCACACCACAAGTACTTGTTTACAGTAAACAGAAAGCTGTAGGTTCAAAGGCTGAGCCATACCACAATTAGAACCCGTCTTTACAGTTGACAATCTCAGGGGTTCACAGTGAGATCAAATACCCTGCAACATCCACCTTTGAGGGTGGGAAGAAGCTGCACTCACTCTTGCGAGCCTAAGACTGACTGTTGCCTGCTGCCTTTCTTTTGTGCTCTTGCTGTCAGTATTACAGGTGGGAGAAGGCCCATCTCCCTCTCTGTGGCAGCCTCAGGTGGCTTTGGATGTGGAGGCCACAGTGGGAAGAAGCTTTCTCTGCAGGATGTAGCTGAGCTGCTTCGAACCAGAGCCTGCAGGAGGGTCGTGGTCATGGTGGGAGCCGGGATCAGCACACCCAGTGGCATCCCAGACTTCAGGTACAATGCATTTCCTTCTGACATCATTTCCTCACTGTCTTCTGTGGGACTCAGCCTTTCCCTTCTCCCTACAGATCTCCAGGGAGCGGCCTCTACAACAACCTTCAGCAGTATGACATCCCCTACCCTGAGGCCATCTTTGAACTTGGCTTTTTCTTTCACAACCCCAAGCCCTTTTTCATGTTGGCCAAGGAGCTGTACCCTGGGCACTACAGGCCTAATCTCACTCATTACTTCCTTCGGCTGCTCCATGACAAGGAGCTGCTTCTGCGGCTCTACACACAGAACATCGATGGGCTTGAGAGAGGTGAGCCTTTGGCCCCTGGCATGTCTAATGCCTGTCTCTCAGGAGGACCGTCTGTGGCCTAGTGTGTATGTTGGCCCTGGGACTGTTGCCAAGCAGCTGGTTATGCCTTGACCACTTCTGTGTTTGAGGCCACACTGAAACCTCTCTGTAGGCCTGTTTTCTGGGTTCTGAGTTTTAGATGGATCTAAAGATCATGATGTGAGGGATCTGGTGCAGATCCCTCACATCATGATGTTTAATATAGAAACAATGTCTAGACAGAGATCTGTGAATATCTTTGGAAGATAAAGCCTTGTTAAAGCATAGCTCTGATACCATTACGCTGAAGAGCTACCAACATTTCAGTGTTGTCCAAGGCAGTCAGTGGCGTCTCGGCCCTACTTCGCACAGTGACAGCCTGTCCACCCTGAGGGAGATGCTGATGCTGCCACAAGGTACAATATGCAGATCCATGGCAGATCCAGACACTCTGCTGTTCTGCGGGGTGCTGGGGCCTGAAGAAAGGCATCACACTCCAGGAACAGGATTCCTGTGAGAAGGAACCTGAAGCTCAGAATCAGAGACAGTATGAAACTTGGAAGGCCCAGGTATCCCCCTATGCAGGGAGGATAGGTTTGGGGCAGGGGTGGGGGATACGAATTTCCAGGCTTTGGGTTTTAGCCTTGAGTTACCAAATAGTAGTGAACTTGATGAGAAATCTTCTGTTGTTGTTGAGAAGGTTCTGCTCAACCTTGAACTTATTATGTAACTCAGACTGTCTTGGAACTCTTAGTTCTTTAGCCTCCATCTCCCCTGTGCTAGGATTACATGCATGTGCTACCACACCCAAACAACTGAGAAGTCGTTTTCTGTTTGCTAATCAGCCATACAGTTTTTTGGTTTTTTTCTTTTTAAGCCTAGTTTTGTCAAGCCCATAAGTTGTACTTGTATATTGCATAGCTATCCCAGAGGCCGCAACACTGAGCTTTGGTTTGAATTTCAGCGTCTGGTATTCCTGCCTCGAAGCTGGTTGAAGCTCATGGTTCATTTGCTTCAGCTACCTGCACGGTCTGTCGAAGGTCCTTCCCAGGGGAGGATATGTGGGTGAGTTACCTCAAGAAATGGTCTCTGCTTTCTGCAGTCCTCGGGGATAGAGGATCTTATGATAGTGACATTTTGTGCTTGTTTGTTTGTTTGTTTGTTTTTTAAACAGGGTGTTCACAGTCTGAAACTCAAAAAATAGGTAGGCTGGCTACCTATTTTTAAAACCTGAGGGATTAACCTGACTCTGCCTCCTCAGTGCTGAGATTTCAAGTATATGTCACAATGCCTGGCTTTTGTTTGTTTGTTTGCTTCAGACATGGTCTAACAATTTAGACCAGGCTGGCCTGGAACTCACAGAGTTCCTTCTTCTGGGATTAAGAATGTGCTCCACCATGCCTGTCTCCTGTCTTTTTCATTTAGAAAAATAATCCATGTAAAAGAACGAAGGCTGGGCTGAGGATGCAGCTCAGTGGTGGAGCGCTTGCCTCACATACACAAGGCTCTGGGTTCTATGGTCAACACTCCCTCCACCCCCAAAATGCAGCTCAGAAAATGAATCTCCCAAGTGATCCATGATGATGCACTCCTTTAATGCCAGCACTTGGGAGTGAGAGGAAGGCAGATCTCTGGGCTACATAGTGAGAAAAAACAAGCAAACAAACAAACAAACAAAAAAAGAAAATGAAAGAAAGAAAATGAATCTCTTTTAACCATCACTTTTGCCTATGGTTCATGATTTGGTGGATAATGTAATGGTCTTTTTTTTTTTTTAACAAAAGATATATGTATGTATAAACAGGCATGCATGTATCTATCTGTCTATCTATCTATCTATCTACATGCCTCCAAATATTAAAATTATTTCATTGACTCCTATTAAGTTTCTTTTCCAAATTTTTTCCACTCATGTACAGTTTAGTGGGTATCTTGTGTCGACATCTGAGCCATATTTACTCCTTTTGTTACTTAATATGAGGTACTTTCAATGTTTGTAATTTCTGCTTTTAAAAACAATCCAGGAGGGTGTAAGGAGATGGCCCCCTAGGTAAAGTACTTACCACATAAGTGCCGGGCAGGTGTGGCGGCCCACCTGGGAATCTCAGACTCCTAGACCAAGCTAGTATCTAGACTGCTTCTGCTAAGCACAAAGACCTGTGTTCAGATACCCCAACATCCTTGTGAAAATTTGGCACAGAATCACGTCTGAGTGGTTGGAGACAGGCATATCTGTGGAGCTCATTGGCCAGCCAGCCTTGCCTAATTGGTGAGCTGCAGGTGGTGAGACACCCTAACTCAAACACTAAGGTGGAGCCAGGTGTGATAGCGCATGCCTTTGATCCCAGGACTTGAGGCAGAGGCAGGCAGATCTCTGAAAGTTCAAGGCCAGCTTGGTCTACATATTGAGCTCCAGGACAGCCAGGACTACATAGAGAGACCCTGTCTCAACATACACACACACACACATACACACAGTGGAGAGAGACTGAAGAAGGTGCTCAGCATCTACCTCTCTCCTCCACATGTATGTGTTCATATGTTCGTATGTGTTACATATTCACACATTCTATTCTGTAGGGTCCAGAGAATCATAGACTCAACCATTTTGCTACTTGTAGCTGGGTAGAGATGTTGGGTGGGTCCATGCTAGGGAGAGGTGAAATATATGGACTCCAGGGCCAAGGATTCCAGGTGATCCAGTAGCCCACAGTAGAAGGGGGTGGTCAAGGGTTGGCATTCTTCAGTTAGCATCATTTGAAGCCGGGAACCTGGAAGACATTAACCATAAATGAGCAAGGACCAAAAACACCAGGCTAGATGGAAACAGGGAGAACCAGCGGAAGGTGTGACTCTTCAAGGAGAGTGTATTGAATTTTGGAGGAAACAAGCCTCAGAGGCTGTGTCAGGAGGGAGTATAAACAGCTTTGTCTGCTTGGTACAGGGTTTACCTGAAGTTATTTTATGGGGTCCCTCTTGAAGAGAAAGCATATGTTCTCAAATTGGCTTATTTGTTTTAGTAGGTTTTTCTTATTTCTCATTTTGAGTGCCTTCTGGAAAATAGGGTTTAATCATGGACAAGTGAATGTAGTAAATAATTTCCTGGAATTTGCCCATGGGCTGGTCCACCCACATTCATTTACCTCTTTCCCACCTAGTTAATCTCTAGAAACACCACTGTGCAGACATTCCCAGAGATGTGCTTTACCAATCTGTTAAGCCCTTCTAAGTCCAGTCACCTTGACAATGACTATTAAAGGGCAGCGGTTAAGGTGGACACAAGCCCACCGTCGTTCCTTCTCCACTCCTGGAGCCCCTTTTGCCTGAACGTCTGCATTGTCTATGTATCTGCTTTCGCCTAGTTGGAACTTGCCTGCACGTCTGCTTTCAGTCTTCCTCATTCTTTTTTAAAAATTAGTTTCATGATTTGCATTTATATCTATCTATTTGTGTGCGGATATAGGGGGTACATGTGCCATGGTGCACAAGTGAAGGTCGGATGTACTTGCTGAAATACTTGGATTAAGGTTAACCATCTCAATTTGTGCCTTCTGGTTTTTCCACTGTTTATCATTTCTTTCTTCCATCCCTTCCTCTGTTCCTTCCTTTCTTTATTCTTCCATTCTTTTCTAGTCCATCAGCTTGGAAGGTCTTATAGTTCAAAGCAAAATGTCTATGTTTGCACATCCCGTCGGCAGTTGGGTGCTGAATTAGGAGACTGTAGAACCTTTGGGATGTGAGGCCACGCTGACAGAAGTAGGTCACTTGGCGGGCTTTTGAAGGCTACACAGCTTCTGGGTCTGGCCTTTGCTTTCCACCTCCTGGTTGGCCATAATATGAACAGCGGCAGCCATACATTCCCATCCCCACGCATGGAGCCACTCCCTATACCACGATGACCTGAAATCCCTTTCAAACTGAGTCGGAATAACATTTCATGCCTTAAGTTGTTTCTGCAAGGCGCTGGTCACAGCACTGAGAAGAGTGGTGACAGCTATATAACTTCCCTGTGTTCTTTTAGCAATAATTAACGTGCACATGCTTTTTTTCTTCACTTTTCAAATATTTTTCTTAGCTCAGTTATGACGTATTCCAGAAATCAAGAGATAGAAGCTGGAGGATTGTGAGCTTAGGGCTAACCTAGACAACAGTGAAACTTTCTCAACCCTCATAAACTTCTTTAAGATGTTTCATTGTGGTATATATAACACAAAGATGCCCTGAGAGAGATTGGAGTTACAGATAGTTGTGAGCTGCCACAGTGCTGGAAATTGAACTCGAGTCTTCTGCAAGAGCAACAAGTGCTCTTAACCACTGAGCCATCTCTCCAGCCCCCATTTTAATAACTTTTAAGGGTAACTTTAAGGAGTCAAGTATGTTTTTAATGTTCTGCAACCAGTGCTGCTGCGCATTTCCAGAACAAGCAGAAAGTCCATAGCTGTTAACCACCGGCTTCCCCCAAGCTTGTACTCATGCTCCTTCTGAACCTAAGAACTGCATCATAGGTCATCCAGGACCTGCCCTTTTGTGACCAGCTTTTTTCAGAGGGTAATGTCTTTAGATTTATTCACCTCATAGTGTGCATCAGACTGTCCTTCCCTTTTAAAGTTTGATAATATTCCACTCTGCAGTTGGGCGTGTTTTATTCTTATATTCATTTGTTGGTGTAACTAGGGTTGCTCCCACCTTGTGCCCGTTGAGAGGATGAATGTGGGTGTGCAGGTAACTCCTTGAGACCTTGCTTTCAACTCTTTTCTTTATATTCCTGGACATGAAATTGTAAATGTCTGTGCTAAACCTGACCTTTAGCGTTTCACGGTTTCATTGAGCTTTTCCACAGAGGCTATACCATCTACACCCCACCTGTGGTCTCCTGCTCCGGCACAGCTATTACTCTAATGACACTGCCATCACACACAGAGCTTTGTAGCTTTAATGCTGACAGGGATTTTTCCCCCTTTGGTTGGTTATGCTTTTAGCATCTATCATGGCTTCTTTTGTGTTTTCTTTTAAGGGTTCAAATGTTTTAGCTCTTACATTTACAAATTTGGTCCAATTTGAATTAGTTTCTATATATGATAAATATATATATGCATATATGTGTGTGTGTATGGTTCCAGCTTATCAGTTGAGATAAAGTCAGTCCAGTCTAGAACAAAGAATTACATTTATTTGGAGCCAACCCCCCAAGACAGGGTTTCTCTGTAGCCCTGGCTGTCCTGGAACTCACTCTGTAGACCAGGCTGGCCCTGAATTTATTTGGAACTTATTAGTATTCAGAGACAATTCAGGAAGTAGAGAATGTGCCATCTGATGGTGGCTGTTTTGATAGCTTAATCTCACAGGGTTTATTTTGGGATTGTGACTCGTGTGCAAAGGCTAAACTGTCTCGCGATGAAGCCATGGTTTGGCATAGTTCATGGGGTCTGCATGTGCTGGGGAGTTCAGGCAGCCTCCATCCATAGTTCATCTGCAGATGTGCCTGGCACCTACTTTACACGGCACACATTGCTTTTAAGGGCTCACAACCTGTGCTGTTCAACTGTAACCTTCTTCCTTGGCAAAATTCTTTTCCATGTGGTTCTCCACTTTTTTTCAACATTTAAAGTTTTATGTTACTATTTATTTTATGTGTATGTGTGTTTTACCTGCATGTATGTCTGTGCCCTATGCGTGTGCATGGTGCCCAAGAAGTCTAGAAGAAGGTGTCAGATCCCCTGGACTTGGAGTTATGGACAGGCTGTGATCTATCACGTGGGTGCTGGGAAAATCCAGATCCTTTGGAAGAGCAGCCAGTACTTTTAACTTCTTTATTAATGCAGCTTTCCTCACAGACTCTTCCTAACTCTCCTTGTGACAGGGGACTCACTATGTAGCCCTGGCTAGCTTGGTACTTGCTGTGTAGACCATGCTGGCCTTGAACTTACAGAGGTCCACTTGCCACTGCCTCCTAAATTCTGGGATTAAAGGTGTGCACCACTTGGAACTATGCTTCCCCCCACAGTAGGCTGATATCCTACACGCACAGCTTCCATCACTGTCAGCATCCCCACCAAAGCCAGATACCTTGCAGCTGATGAACTCACACTGATAACACTCTCCCTAGAGCCCACAGTAACCTTGGTATATTCTGTAGGTTTGGGTAAACGTGTAAAGACAAGTATCCATCATTATAGCGTCATACACAGCACTACTGTCAGTGTCCTTGAATTCCTGTGGGTTCTTTCTGCTCATTCTTCATCTGCCCCAACCACCGGCAACTCTGATCTTACTTTCTTACTCTTCTGTCTTTTCCAGAATGTCATAAAATTGGACTCGTAGAGTGTGCAGTCTTTTCACACTAGCTTTTCCATTTAACAAGTGTGTATTTGTTTCCTCCATGCATTTTCCTGCCCTGGCAGCTGACTTCTTATTAGTTCTGAGTAATGTGCAATTTGTCTAGATGTACGTACCATGGTTTATCCATCCTGCTAGCAATATGAATGCGTCAGTTCAAGAATATGAATTGCTTTATGCAGGTTTTTTTGTAAATGCAAGTTTTCAAGTTCTTTGGGTAAATATCAAGAAACATAATTTTTGGATCACAGTAGCAGTGTGTTTAGTTTTGTAAGGAGCACAGAACTGGGGCTAGATAAAGCTTTGTCATATATGTAATGGATATAACTTAGAGAGCTTGACTAGCTCATGTAAGGTACGCACGCGCACACACACACACACACACACACGCAGAGAGAGACCCAAAACAACAACAAAAGCCACCCAGCTGTCCTCCAAAGTGACTCTTAGGTTGTGTACACCAGCAGCAGCCAGACCCCTACTGCTCCATGTCCCCATCAGTATTTTTTGTTATTCGTGTTCAGGAGCCAGGTCAGATCTGTTGAGGTGTGCAGTGATGTTCCGTTGAATCAATTTGCATTTCCTTGGTGGTCTTTAATGGTGAGCATCTTCTCAAGTGGTTGTTACCTTTTATTTTTGAGGGTAGTGTGCATGTATTTTGCTATTTTCTCTTTCTTTTTTCTTTTCCTCCTCCCTCTCCTCCTCTTCCTTCTTTTGTTTTGTTTTCTCAAGACAGGGTTTCTCTGTGTAGCCCTGGCTACAAAAAATGATTTAAAAATTGGTTTCTTTTTCTTTTCTTCTTTTTGCTTTTCTTTCTTTTTCTTTCTTTCTTTCTTTTCTTTCGTCCTTCCTTCCTTTCTTTTTTTTTTTTTGAGACAGGGTTACTCTGTATAGCCTTGGCTGTCCTAGACTGGCTTTGTAGACCAGGTTGGCTTGAACTCACAAAGATCTACCTGCCTCTGCCTCCCTGAGTGCTGGGATTACAGGCATGCGCCACTGTGCCTGGCTTCAAAATTGATTTCTTATTGTTGAGCTTTAATAGTTCATTGTAGAGCTAGCAGGACGGCTGAGGAGGTAGATTATGTATTTTTCTTTTGCTGTGATAGAATACTGAGATCAAGGCAATTTGAAAAAGAGTTTGCTTTTGCTTGTGGTTCCAAAGGTATAAGAATCCATATTGGTGGGGACATAGGGCAGGAAGCAACAGGCATGACTGACTGCAGGACTAGGAAGCTGAGAGCCCACACCTTCCAAGGCAAGCATGAAGCAGAGAGAGCAAAGTGCAAGTGGGGTGAGGGCATAATTCTCAAAGCCTGCTCCCACTGACAGTTTTCTCAGCCAAGCAGCGCCTCTAAACTTCCCCAGAAAGCGCCCACAGCTGGGGAGCAGGCGTTCAAGTGCCTGATCCTGGGGGGGGTCATTGCTTGTTCAGAGTACCCCAGCAGGTGAAGGTGCTTGCTGCCAAGCCTGCCCGTGTGAGTTCCATGCTGAGGGGGATAATCAAATCCTGCAGGTTGTCCTGAGTTTCACATTCCAACTGGCACATTGGCACCCTGCCCTATATACTCTAAGTAATGGAAAGTGTAGTCGAAAGGAATTCTTTGTGTATTTTACTTAATAGTTTCTTTTCAGATATGTCTTCTGCAGATATTTTTCCTAGTTTGTGGCTTTTCTCCTCACTCTTTCTACAGTGTCTTTCTCAGACTAGAAGATCTTAATTTTGAAATTACACCATCCCTTATTTATTTCATGGGTTTGCTTTGGTGTTCAATCTATAAAGACTCATTGCCATACCAGAGATCATCTGGGTTTCCTTCTGAGCCGCCTTCTAGAAGTTTTTCTCTTTACATGGAGGTCCTGGATCCATTTTGAGTTAATTTTTATGAAGCATGGAAGTATTTAGACTCATTCTGTTTCATGAAGATGTATGTTCTAGCACATTTGCTGAAAATGTCCTATTTCTAGTGAATTGCCTCTGCTTTTTATGCAGAAACCATTGTGTCAGTTTTGAGCTTTATTCTCTCACCGGTTCAGCAGTCTTGATAACTTTGGCTTTAGTGGCCTAATATCTAGGAGGTCTCTGACTTTGATTTCCTTCTTCCATGTTGTATTTTGTCTTACTTGCTTTTCTGCATCTATTTGCTAGTCACGTTTTCTTTGTGTTTTTCAGACTTCTTTGCAGTTTCGCTATGTTGTATTTCCATATGGAATCCCTTTTATGTTGTGTGAAATGCACAGGGCTTCCTCTACCATTGCGGGTCATGTCCAGACATTCTCACTTTAGATGGTCATCGTTCCTGCACTTTCCTCCCACTCTGTATGTTCTCCAACAGTCGTGGCTACTCTGCAATGTCTGCCGCTGGTACCGCTTGTGCTGCATTCTGGGTGATTTCTGTTTCAAGCTCATCAATACCTTGTTTTGTTGCAGAGAATAAGATTCATTGAATCTTGCTTTTGCTTTTTACTTCTAGAAGTCTATTTGATTATATTTTTTTAAATCCATAACATTTAAATTTTTTCTATTTCTAGTTATTTTAAACTGGTAATTTTTCCTCTTTTAATTTAAACACACTATAGTTTTATTATTTGTAGCTGATAATTTCTGACATCTTTTGGCAGTTGTTGCTATTTGTTCTTACTGAATTTATTCTACTGAAATCTACTTAGCTATAAAGCTGTATTTTACGAGGATGTTTCTGTGTGCCTTGTCAGAAAGTGTACTGCCTTCTTTTCTATTTGGTACGAGACATGGTCTAGGTGAAGTTATTAGTAACTGTCATCTACTTTACCTTATCCTGCAAGGAGGTAGCCTGTGGCAGCAGTGCTCTCTCCTGACAATGCCAGCAGTGAGCTGAAGCTGACCCAAATGCCTTCTAGGGTGGAAGCAGTACACGGGTCACCTCAGCTCAAACTGGGGACAGGCTTGTGCTGCCTTTCTCACTGTATACAGGAGGCCCACAGAACACTGTCAGAGCGGTGTGGTCCATCCCAGGTGGGGCCTACTGGAGAACTTGTGGGTAAAACCAGGTGATGTCTAGGACTTGATTTGAAACGTTTCAGCCCCCCTGCCTCGCTGAAGTAACGGTTGACAAAATTGCTAACGACACATGGGGTCCATTACACAGTTCAGCTTTTTGGAAATGTTCAAAATTTTCTTGAAAAGCCCTTGCCTTTTCTTCTTTTAAATGTCATCTTCCTTGGTTCCTCCTTCCCTGATCCGCAGGCTGATGTGATGGCAGACAGGATTCCCTCCTGCCCTGTCTGTACTGGCGTGGTGAAACCTGACATTGTCTTCTTTGGGGAGCCGCTGCCTGCAAAGTTCTTACTACATGTGGCTGATTTCGCCATGGCAGATCTGCTACTCATTCTTGGGACCTCCCTGGAGGTTTGTTGAAAGGCATGTGGGGACGACGGGTGGGAGAGTGGTAGGCATGGAGGGGTAGGGCCTGGTTGATGGTGCCACCTTTTCAGTTGAGAAGTCACTGGTAGTGACATTCCAGGGTTTGGAAGCAATGGCTTTGTAGGCGGGCATAAGGGTGTGGTAAAAGGTTAGCCATGAGCTGGACTTTGGGATGAAGAGCAGCTGCCAGTCCTGAAATGACTGTAGGTGGGAGAAGGTTGGCTGCAGCATCAGCAGTTGCCTGGTAGGGGGCAGTCAGAGGACCAGTGGGGTTGGGGTCTGTGTGGGTTTGAGGCTCCTAGGAGATGACCACTGGGGGTGATCTGCATGAGTCTGAATGCCAGGAAATTTTCAAAAGGTGCAAAGAGGTAAGCCCATGTGCTGGCAGGCAGGAAGGTAAACCCAGGGCTGTGGGTGTAAAGGCAGGGCACTATGGCGGGTGGGATATGGGAAAGAGTGAGCTACCACAGGACTAGCATGTGTCCTGTTCCTGTGGCGTGGGTTTGAGAACACCAGCTCAGCCAAGTATCTTTCATGTATTGGGGTAGCAAAAGGTGGATGTGGGAGGTAGAGTCAGGAAGAACCTGAGGAAGGAACCAGGTGAATGGTGAGCAAGCAGGAGATTCCAGAGTGCTGCTGATTACAGGCTTGGGATAGAGGACAGTGGAGGGGCAGTCAGGAGCCAAAGGGTATGCCCTCTGGTCTGTGGTAAGTGTATGGGCCAAGTCCTGCTAACTATGGCGCTATCAGAGAAGGACACTAAGACTCACCAGTCACCTTTATTTTCGAAGTAAATGGAAATCGCCCTTCCTCTGTGCTTTTGAGAGTGTATGTTTTTGTTGTTGTTTTGTTTTTGTTTTTTGAGATGGAGAGTCTGCATAGCCTGTCTGTCCTGGAACTCACTATGTAGACCAAGATGGCCTTAAACTCCTCCAAGATCAGCTTACATCTGTAGTGCTGAGATTAAAGGCGTGCATCATCACTTCCCAGCCAACCATATGCTTCTTTCAAAGGACTCCCTCATGCTGGGTGGTGGTGGCACACACCTTTAATCCCAGCACTTGGGAGGCAAAGGCAGGACAGCCAGGGTTATACAAAGAAACCCTGTCTCAAAAACACCAACCAGCCAGCCAGCCAACCAACCAAATAAACAAAAGACTGGTTTATAATAACAGAGGCAAAATGAAGACTCAACTTTTTATTTTAAATTTTATTGTTTTATTCTATGTATGTGGGTGTTTTGTTTGCATTTATTTTTGGTGCCTGTGGAGATCAGAAGAGGGCATCTGATTCCCAGGAGGTAGACTTTGAGGTAGTTGTGAGCTGCCATGTGTGCTCTGTGAACCTGAGGGCCCAGACAGGACAGGCCTCAATCCATTACAAGTGTGAGCTGCCGACAAATATGCACCCCATGTCTGGGGAAAAATAGCAATGTGCTAGATAGTAGATTACTCAGGATCTCCACTGTGTCTGATGTTTTCTGAAATCTGAAATATCCCGAATTCCGAAACATTTGCAGTCATAAGGGTTGGAGGTCAAGGATTTGTGGACCTATAAGAAAATTTATGCAGGACAGTAGATTTATTGATTTATTTAAATTTATTTATGGGCAGTAGAGACAAGTAGTAATTTTCGTATTAGGTGTGCCTGTGTTGAGTATCCTTGTGTGTATTTACACTCATGCAGGTGCTTTTGCAGCATGAATGCCGACATTTGGTGTAAGAGGGTCCATTTTCTCAAATCTTCCCCAATATGAGAATGAGCTAGTTTTCTGCCGGTCTCAACAGTTAAGAATAGATACGATGGGGCTGGTGATGTGGCTTAGTGTGTTGCCAGCATGTGCAAAACCTGAGTTAGTTCCCCGCCAGAGTCTAGGAGAGCTTGTATTTCCACTCATTTTACTAACCATTCGTTTTCTTTGCATAGTTGTATCCCTTGCCCAGTTTTTCTTTGGGTTATTAATTAGCAACATAAATAATATGTATATAAAACATCACACTAAACTTTTCCCATAGTAGTTTTATGTAGGTATCAGTGTGGCAGTGCTGACAGTCAACTCTCACTTCCCTTTGTCTCACTTCAGTTATATCTGAAACGTCTTTTCCTACCCTTACCTGTAAAGCCTGGTTTTTATTTTCTAAGAACCTATTTTGACATTTCTTTGCCAGAGGATAATTTGTGTGGATCAGGTCTCTCCTTCCACTATGTGAGTCCTCAGGATTAAATTTGGGTTCCCAGGTTTGGTGTCAAGCTTCTTACCCATTGAGCTATTGTGGCCTTCCCTTACTTTTTCCTTAAGAACTGTTAAGTTTTTGTTTTTTGCCTGTTTTCCTTTTTATTAAAAAAAAAATGTGTATGAGAATTTGCCTGTCTGTCTGTCTGTGCATCCCATGTGCCTGGTACTCATGGACAGGGTATTGAATACCCTAGAACTGGAGTATTGGGAACCAAACACAATTCTTGTGCAAGAGCAGCAACTACTCTTAATTGCTGAGCCATCTTTCTAGCCCCTTAGTTTTATTTATTTATTTATTTTTTGAGGTGAGGGTCTTATGTAGCCTTGGATGACCTTAAACATCTGATCCCATCTCCATCTCTGACTGCTGGGGTTACAGGTGTGCTACTACCATACCTGTTCAACAACTGTTTTATTTATATTTAAATCCATGATCCATGTCAAAGTTCTTTAGTTCTTTTTGCTTTCAGGTAAGAGTCAGGCTTGTTAGCGCACCTTAATCTACTCATTTTCTACACTGTTATTCTCTGTGCAGAAATATGACAGCAGCATTGCCCTTTAGGAGACTGATGGGAACCCCGGAGGTGGGACAGCAGTGGGATGGTAAAGGGTACTTGCCCTTCTATGTCAGGGACGCACAGGAGAAGCTCAGAGCAGGGCACAGGCTGTAGACAGAGCAGGTGGAAGGAAGATGCTTGCAGGAAGAACACACAGACTGAGGGGAAGGATGGAGTATGGGGAGAAGTCAGGGTTCGTGGTGTCCTATTGAGCAGAGAGAGAGGAAGAGAGACATACAGAGACAAGAGACAGAGAAAGGAGGCTGTAGATGGGAAAGACGTCACGCAGACCAGGGGGTAGAAGCCTTCAGTGGCAGTCGTGTTCAATGTCCTGATGGTGCACGGACACCTGCCCTTCACATTTGGGTTATCTTTCAGGTGGAGCCTTTTGCCAGCTTGTCTGAAGCAGTACAGAAGTCAGTACCCCGACTGCTCATCAATCGAGACTTGGTGGGGCCCTTTGCTCTGAGTCCTCGCAGCAAGGATGTGGCTCAGCTCGGGGATGTAGTTCATGGTGTGGAAAAGTTGGTGGACCTCCTGGGCTGGACACAAGAGCTGCGGGATCTCATCCAGCAGGAAACCGGAAAGGTACAAATACGAAGCTCTGGGGCACAGTCCAACAGCATACATCCTCTTCTGGTCACTCATCTTAACACACTGCTGGCCTCTAGGATGGTGCTCCTACAGCCCATGGCTTTTGGCTTCCTGTCCTGTAACCACTGCTGGGACATGATTCTGTGACCTAGGGGGGGAGGGAGGCTGAGAAGGAGACATTCTCTCACCCTGCATGGGACAGAGCTAAGCAGGATGGTTTGTTAATCAATGTCAATGTCCATTGCAGCCATTGGGAATAGGAAGCCAGGAAACATATGCGATCTAGACTTTATAGTACACGTGGTTCACAGAAAACAATTTCCTTTGAGAACCATATTATATGTGATTATATTCTATAGCAGAGTGCTAGCATTTAACTCCTAATTCTATGGTTATAGACAGGTGCAGCACTGCCCAAAGGATTTCACCAGAGTGTATCACAATTGATGTTCTGTTGTTGCCAAGATAGAATCTTAAGAAAATCCCTGCCCATGGCTCTGGGACTCGGCCTGTGGTCTCCTCGCCTTCACTGGCAAAAGCTCCTAGCCTATTTAGCCTGAGCTCTTAATGAAACTGGACCAAAGAGAAGCAAGGCATGCTAAGGACAAGCCTTGGCATTTACTGTTTTCACAGCTCAGATGTAACTACTAGAATTTTATCTTTTTGTTCCAAAGTTTGGCTTTTAGGGCTGAATGTACGCTAGTGCTGTTTCTTGGAAAAGTGTTTAGCCACCTATGTTGCACTAGGCCTTCTGGGATCCCTTTTCTTGTTCACTTCAAAGACAAAAGCTTGTTCCATAAAATATTTTGCTTGACTTCAATGACTGATCCAGGTTTGGGTGTACTAGTGTGAAGCTGACTGACCTCCTCTCTGTTCCAGCTGGGTGGACAGGACAGATAAGACTCTGGCTGCTTCACCTGCAGAAAGTCACAGGAGATCACTCTATTCCCAAGGAGACCTCATGCCTGAAAACAGCTCTGATGGGTTTACACACCTGGACCAAACTACTTTTGATCTGGGTGATGGTCTTCTGAGGCTGCCTTTCTACAGGCTGGCTGGGATGTTTTACCCAGGGGCCATGTCATCACAGTGCAAAGGAGCTCCATGTGTGCTCTGCCCACCTCATCACTGCTGAAGCTTGTAGTGCAGAATGCTGCTTTCTGGCAGTGGCCCTTATGGTCACCAGGAAGGCAGCACAGCACGTCGACCATCACCAGACCCAGGTGATACACTAGGCTAGTCTAGCATGTTGGTCTCTACAGTGGCATCTTTAAGAAACAAATTTATTTCTTGCATGAAATAAATTTTAGTATAAAATTTTGTCTGTTTGGGACAGTAAGCGCTGACATATTTTTGGTTATGTGGGTGTCTTCCTCTTGAATGACTGAGCCCATCTTTCCCCTGTGTTAACTCAGGCCCCTCTTTTCCAAGGTCCCTCAGGAATCCCCACATCTTTTAGAATCTCATCTGCCCAGCCCTCCCTAAGCCGCTTCCCACCACTCCACCCAGGCTTCTTCCAGTAACGACGCTAAAAACAATGGTAGGCATTACTCCAGGAAGCCCCACAGGGTCTCCTAGCTTTCTGTCCTATGTGTAGTTATGACTAAGCATAGGCTGCTCCCTCCTTGGCTCCTACCCAGATGGGTACAGGTTAGGCTGTTTCCCAGATGGACAGACCTGTTACTACACCCATTCTGACTGGGGCTGAGAGGCAGACCCAATGGGATTCCAGTGATTGGGGTCTTCTATCCTTGTTCTTCAATGAGAGCAGATGTGTGGTGATCTAGGAAATCTTGAATTCTAAAAATAATGAAATTAGTTCTTATTTCTATTTAATATCCTTTCACCCAGCTACTTCAGATACAGTCTTGTCCCAAACTCTTTATTCTGTGCCTCAGAGAGCTCAGGTTTACCTTGTCTTCCAACTTTTGCCTTCTTGTAATTATGACACCAGTGGCTGTGAGTGGATTAGATGTCACAACCAGTCAGGCTTGGGTATGTGGATACTGCAGTGGGTGGTGGAGCCAGGACCAAGAAGAATTTAGAAGAAGCCACTGTCCCTGTGCTCAGTGGGGCCAGAAGCAGGAACCATGATTCGTGGTGTATTTTTGACATAATTAAACAATTCCAACAGATTCTAATATGTTTGAAACACAGCATATGCTCCGCATACGGGCTCTAAGCTGGCAGTGACAGCCCAGACATGCTTTCACAGTGTGTACCCTGCTCAGTCCCCTTGTACATGCATGTTCATTTATGTGCCAAGGCAGCTCTGCCCATGGCTGGAGCTACAGCATATGCTTGGGAAACATCAAAGAAACAACTTCACTTGTGAAAATTAAAGGTGGGTTCCTAGTCTTTAGAGGACAAGACTACCACAGTCCTAAACATGAGAAACTGGACCAAAGGCAAATCATGGATAGCGAGGGGAGTAAAGAGAAAGGCCTCCCCAGCAGGAGAGGAGTGTGGCTTCTCTCGGCAGCACCCCAAGGACATGTCTGGAAGCAGCACCAGTTCTGAAGGGGAGCAAAGCCGCTGCCATCTTCAGTCAGGGTCTGAGTCGGGGTCTGAGGAGAGCTGCCCCTCCATGGTCTCGCACATCGCATCTTGCAGAGAAGTGAGGTGACCCCGGGGACTCATCCCCATGGGTTGGATGACTTTGTGCCTGCAGGGAAAGCACAGTGTGGTTGGGGAGGGGACCTAGTGTGCAGGGCAGGGGCTCTTGCTTATCCTGGCTGCTACTTGAACCACGTATACTATTAACCGGGCCCAGAGCCTAACCACCACCTAATTAGCTTTGAGGTGTTAGGCAGACCTTTATGTTCTTGTCCTCATTTTCATCATCTAGAAACAGGGCTCCAGTGCTGACTGTATCCTCTTTCATTTCTGGAGGGTTACCTCCAGGGCAAGTTACTCAGATGCTCAATGCAGCCTCACTTGACCTCCTCTAAGCCAGTCTCCTTGGGCTCACGAAAGAGAATCATTCCCATGTCTTCTAGCTACTGGCGTTCCTCCCAGCACATACCTGGAGAGCTTATCAAACATGTTCACCAGCTTCATGGCCTCATGTTCCTTCTGCTCCTCTGTCATGCCTTCCATAGGATTGGGTGGCTTCTCCTCCACCCTTCCAGTCACAGGGTTGATGCTACCTCCCAGGAACAGTGCATGGGAAATGGGTTAGTGATACCACAGGAGAGGTGGGGCTGCATGGGGCAGGGAGTCTCCGTCTTCAAGCTTAGGGCTGGGTTAGCAAGGACCCACCTTCTTAGTTTTGGTGGTGGTGGGACTTCAGAAGGGAGATCCCCCTGGAACATCAGCCAGACAACTCTTGCCTAGGACCTCCTGGTTCTCAGAGAGCTCACTCGCTGGGCCTCAGTACATTCAGGACACACTTGTCATCAGAACACAAGTGCCTGTTTTCAGGTCTTACCTAGTCCTCATCCTGTCCTATGTACTAGTGGTTCTGGTTGGGGCTGAGGGACGTGAGGGAACCCAAGTGTATAGTAGAGGCACATACCTGGCCTTAGCTTCTCTGTACTCCTCTGTGTCGGTGTCCTCATCCTCTGAGTACTGGCCCTCAGGCCGGCCACCTGCCATGAGACCCCTGGCAGCCAGGAGGCCAGCAGCATTCCCGTAGCCTGTGTACTTGATGAATCGGGGCACTGGAGACCAGGGCAGAGGTCAGTGTGTGAATATGGCTGAGGCAGGGAGGCCTGGGGCTTGGGCTCCCCCAACTCACCACTCTCAGAGCATAAGACAAAGAGGAACTCGGCAGCTACCCTCTTCACGTCTGTATCAAGGTGTGTCATGAGGCGGACAAGCTTGTTTCGAAGCAGGTCCCCCACCTCAGGCCGAGTCCTCACATCCCTCAGAGGGGGCAGGACCTGGGGAGGCAGCTGACTCTAAGCGTTGGCTCAGAGAAGCCAGGGGCCTGTAAAAAGGATCCAGCCCATGCCCCCAGCTCCATCTCCTTTTCCAAGTACCTGGGCCTTCAGGAACTTCCTGGCAGGACGATGTATTCGGGCACATTCCGTCAGCACACTCAGCACAGGTGCCACACACTCCTTCAGCCTGTGGGTCTGCAAAAGGGCTTCTGTCACTGTGACATGCTCCCCACATAAGATGGGGGCACAGTGCACACTTGAGCAAATGGCTCTGACAACAGACTCTTGTAACGAGGCCATGTTGCACAAAGGTAGTGGTGGGTGTTTAGTAGCTTAAAAAGATATGGAAACACTAAACCAATCATGGTGGCACAAGCCTACTATAATGCCAGTATTTGGGAGGCAGGAAGATCAGAAGTTTAGGGGCATCCTTGTGTCAATGAAGCTCTTAAACAGAAAAGAAAAGTGATGGAAACAGGACAAGGTTCTGGAAGTGACTGAAAGTTTTTGTTTACTCCTTTGTATTTTATATGTGTTGCTTGCATATATGTCTGTACATCTAGACGTACATCCATCCATACATCCGGGTGTTGGATCCCTTGAACTGGAGTTGCAGCCAGTTGTGAACTGCCATGTGGGTGGGTGCTAGAAATTGAACCAGAGTCCTCTAGAAGTGCTCTTAACCTCTGAGCCATCTTTCCAGCCCCGACTGAAAAAGCTTTGTGACTTGGGTCAAACAACTCGCTTCTTTAAAACTATAAACCAGGGTCATGAGCAAAACAAAAAGTATTTGAAGCTGTGTGCACACCACAGGTACACACTACCCTCCCTCAGGAAACGGCAGAAGCAAATAACAGAATCCCTACTCAGAGTGCCTAATGGATAACCAAGCAGTGTACCTATCCCTTGCCCACCTTTCCGTGATCTTCCTGGAGCCCAACACCAGCAGCCACAGCAATAGAGGCAGGCAGGCAGAGCTCCTCACCCAGCTCATAGGTACTGAGCACTCTCGGCCCAACATGGCTGCTCAGAGATCTAATGAATCTCAGTCTATGCTTTCATCTGTGGGAGCTCCACAAGGATAGGCTAGATCACCATCTCTCTGGATGTCCCATGAATAGTCAGGGGAGTCAGATAACCTTTGGTTATGTCTCCTTAAGATGCAGAGGGACAGCCTGGGGTGGTGGTGATATCAGCTCACACTTTTCATCTCTGTGAGTTCAAGGCCAGGCTGGTCTACAGAGGGAGTTCCGGGACAGCCAGGGCTACCCAGAGAAGCCCTGTCTTGAAAAACCAAAGCAGAAAGGGAAAAAAAAAATGAAGAGGACAACTGATGCTATCATCTATGGCTGCCCGTGTATAGGAACATTAGGAGCTGAGGGTCACGAGCAGTAATGAGAGCTTCCAAGAACCACTTAGCTCAACCACAGAAAACTAGACCACGAGAAGCTTGCGTTTCTTTGGTAATCAGCAACAGGAGGTGTAGCCACAAGCTTCTGAGAGGGCCTGACTTAGTGGCTACGCTCTGTCTGGGCCATGGAGCAATCAGAGGAATTCTCCAAGTTATAACATCAAGATGAGCTCTACTTGGCAGTACCAGTAGTGCAGAAACAGTAGCCACAACTGGGGCCAGAGTCCCTGGTTGAGACCACATAACAGGTTCCTGCCTACCTGGTGCAGACGCTTCTCCAGGAAGGCGAGGAGGGCACTGATCACATCCATATTAACTCCCATAAACTCTAAGGATCCTTCATGTAGCTCCAGGGCGAGAAGGACATCCAAACATTTTAGGGGCAAGTTCCCCAGGAGATTCACCGTGTGGCTGGGGACAGACCGGCAAAGGCCATCAACAGAGTATCCTCTTTAGCACAGATGCAATTCCTGGCTCTTCTCCTGGGGTGCACATGATATGGCGGCCTGCAGGATAGTACTGAGGACTAGGGGCAAGGGCAGGTAGTACCCCAGCTCAGGTTTGGCGAGAGACTCTGCAGACACTCCACCCGGCCCATTCTGCCTGAGCTGGATGCCAAGCAATCTCTGGAAACCAAGATCAGCTGAGGCAAGAGAGCATTGCCTCCACCTAAGGCCCCATCTCTAAGTTCACAGCTCCTTTCTCAGTTATATCCCGAGTTCCTGTGGCTGTCTGGGAAACACAGTGATGTCCCATTCCCCTGACAAAGTCCTAGGCTGGGGCCTGGGCTCCCAGGTGCTTCTG